ATATATTTTTATATATTAAAAATAATTTTAGACAACTTGTCCTATATCTTTTCTACCTTTCTGTAGGTAAATAATAATTCGCTTTACTTTTGAAGGCTTTTTAATTGACAGAAGGCAGTGAAGAGATATATGCTCTGATTAATAAGACAAAAAGCTGTGCTATTTGAGTCAATTGTTATTAGTTACAACACCATGGCATGTTTTATAGATGCTGACCACCTTTTTCTCCTGAAGTTAAGGAGGCTGTGAGTATAGAAAGAAAACCAGGTAGACTACTTTGAAATACTGCTTCCCTGAATCTGGCAAAATGAAATGTATTTTCTACTCAAGCATGACATTTGGTAATAATTTTAGTGTAATTGGAGGACGAGCCAAATTGAAGAAAAGCAACAGGGAGTAATTATGGATTATCACTTTTTAATCTCATCTGTCAGTCATCTATAAAGAACTGCTATATTCATGGTTAAGTAGCCTGATAATTGGCTCAGCTTGATTTTGATCCACTTGAAGTTCTTAGGGGTAATGTTTAATGTTTTCCATTCTGCAGTGTTTATTAATGGGGTTGACATCTAGGCAATTGGTACAGTAACACTGGGTTAGTGTTCACCTCTGCCCTGAGCTGTAGATACATCAAGCTTCCATTGTCCATTCAAGCTGCAGAAGGCCAGCGCACACTTAAACGGGGACAGAACTGATACCAAAAAAATACTAAAACTATAACCTGCCCAAGCATTTTTGAACTGACTGCCACGGGAGGATGGTCCTTGGTTGAGGACAACTGTTGCTGGTACCCTGCTAAGGTGCCACCTGCTTATTATACTGCCAAATACCAAGAAACAACAATGCAAATACTTCTTTTTTTTGACAGGTAACTTTATTAATAATGGTCTGGGATCTGTCGCACCTACCAGGTGCCAGTCTTTTTTCACACTCTGCAAGATTTTCTGAAGAATAAACTAGAAAGGCATAAAGTTAGTTGAAGCTACTAAGACACACATTTGAAGGTGGGTCTGTTTTGGACTTTTTAACAGAAGTAAGTTTTCATGAATGTGTGTCAAAAAACTTAAATACAATGAGAAATACAGTAGAAAGACTATATTTACAGTCAATTATAATGGGCACTGCCAACATATCCAATAACAAAAATAAAACAAAAACATTTTTCATGTTTCTTTCATGATTTTTTCACAGAGATTTTTTTTTAAATATGATTTTGTTTTTTAAAAAATACAATAAGGAAATAATTACATTCTTAATATGAGAACATTATCTTACAACATATAGCCTGGGCCAATTGTTTTGAAAGTGTCTTTAACAAAAAATGATACTAAATTAAGTATTCTCCATTTGAAAAATCAAATTGCCACAATCATCTCAATAAAAAAAAACACCTTTGATCCCCTAGAGTTTGTTATTTTTTTTATTTAAAAAAAAAAGTCACTCATAAAAACAATTTAAGAAAGCACCTGGTACAGTAACAGGAGTTTGTTGAGGAAGTGTAAGTGTTAACAACATTTTCTTAACTGATGTAGAAATGGTTTAAAATACAAGAGTTTTCCTTTAAAACAAAAGTCATGCTGCTCTATTGCTGACTTTGCCTGGTGATGCTGAAATATAAAAACGGTGACAATACAAGCTCTGTCACTTTTTATAAAAAACCTGTGCAGCAATAGTATTATTCAAGAAAACAGAGTACGTTTCACAGCACAGAACGTGCTCTATAGAGAGGTTACTTCCCGAGGTTTTCTTATTTTCCTCTTTTCAAAACCTTGGCCATTGTCTAGAACAGGCACGTCACTGATGCCAATTGTGATGGTGCTGATGTACTTACACCCTGGACATACAATTACAGTACGTGCCAGCTTGGGGAAGAGAGGG